TTAGTTGCTTAGAAACAGATTCTCTGGAGACTGAACTGTCTCCACATACAGACAAAAGAGCAAATTGTTGCTGTCAGTTAATTTCAAAATGAAGCCTTAAACATTAGCTGTACTGTCTGACTCACTGACCTGAATTTGACTCCCAGTTAACTTCTTTGGGACATACAAAAAAAATAGCTTGCTTCTTTGCAATACATTTTTTCTGGCAAATAAAGTTTGATTTACATTTGGCCAGTTTGTTTGAATTGGAGAGGGGTAGGGATTGTATCACTGAAATGCACCACCAGATATGAGAGATCCTCCATCTGGCAGTCCTCGTGTGAAACGGGCCTCTGTGTCAAAATCCAGGCTCTCGACAGGTTCTAGGCATGTTTTTCATATTATTAGGTTTCATCAAATTGTTCCCATTTTCCCGCCGTCATGTAACTCACACTGACAAACAGATGCAAGGTGATGTTTTTCAAATGTTTGGGTTTTGTCTGAGCAAAATCCATAAATGTTGAGTTTACATATAAAACTAGGAAGTATATGCATTTATGTGGCTCGTATAACAGAATTGGACATATATTGTTTAGAAATTTTCAAACAATTAATTAGTTATCAAATCTGCTGCCATTCTTTTTTTTTTTCAATTAAGTCATCATTTCAGGTTTTGAGTAGTTTGGTTATTAAACGAACATGTATAGTGGGGGTCAGTAGGGGCTTAACTACAAGTTTTAGCCCTGGGGCCCTGTATGTGGTTAATGCAGCCTTGAATGCTGAGTATCTGTAGCTGGGCACACAAGGGACATAGATCCTTAACTTTTAATGAGATGTTCTTGTCCGTTGTTAAAGGAAAAAGCACCTGCGCTTTTGGTCTACATTCGTGTTCTCTAATTAACATGGTGGAGGTACCCAGAAGGCCAATTCAGCTCCACCTCTCCTCTCCTACAGCTACCTGCAGTGTCTCCTGGCACCTTTCGTGTCTTCGTGCTGCTGTGTCCTTTACCTGATTATAACTGTAATTAATGTCCTGCCCTCAGTTCCCTGCTTTCAGAGGAGTACTCACTTCTTGGAGAAGAAGGACCTGCAAGACAAAAATGTGGGAAAAATAAATAGTATAATAATGATTTTTGCTATTCTAATAGCTGTATGAGTCATGAAGCTAAAAATGTTTGTGTAACCCTGCTTTCACACCAAATGCAAAGGTGCAAAATAGAAAGGTGCAACAGCTGCTTGGCCACAGTGCCATGTACTGCCTTGATTTTCCACCACGTATTGTATTTTGCTGCTGCACAATTTTTATTTGTACAGTTCAAGTGAAGATGGTTGATGGTGGGAGTGAGAATTAACATTTTCTTTTTTATTTCTGCAAAAGGGCATATGTTTTATCTCCTGGGGAGTGTGAGCATCAGACAATGTAATGACAATTTCTTGCCTTAAATACATGCCAGTGAGCCATAAAGCGTTTGCATGTAGTAGATAAACAGAAAACTATAATTACAATAATTAAGATACTGTAAAACTGTTCATCTGCTCTTTCCCTCTGAATGTCAAACTGAAGGGGGCTTTATTCCAGGAGAGATCACCTACCTCTGCAATAACATACTAATTAGTGTATGTGTTCAGTTTCTCTTACGATACAATACATTTATGTGACTGACTGTCAGTACAGGAATAAATTACTCGTTTACAACCACATTAGCAGCATTTTTAGTGGCAAAGCTAACATGCTGATATTTCTCAGCTGTTTGTTTTAACCACATAGTTTTGTGTGCAACAGTGGCAGATAATGAGGTCAAAATTTGGATTTCTTGTTGTGTTTTTGCCATTTGTTTTTGTTTTGTTCTTTCTACTGGACAGTGTATTGTAACCATCTGGATCTTTGTGCAGTACTTAATACCTTAATACTATTTAACCTGATGGGCATTGCATCATTTGCACATTTGTTTTTTTTTGTTTTTTTTTTAAATCTTGTTTTAGTTTTCATTCTTTTCAGAAGTGCTGCCAATTTATTGACCACCAAATTTATCAGAGGAAGAAAATGTGAAAGCAGCAAGAATTCAACTTACAGGCAGTCCTTGAACTAATCGTGTATGCCATGTGATTCTGTTGGGAAAATTAACCAAATCAAAGATTTATGATATTCCATCAAAATTCAGTTTCATTCTATTTGCCAAACATAGACCATTTACATCAGATTCTGTAAAGTGCCAAAACTTCTTCCCCCCTTAGGGCATCTTGAAAAGCCATGACAGACAGCTGCGAACAACAGGAACAGAGACATAAGAAAAATTCAAGGACGATTCGGCTAAAATGCAGGCTGTGTTTGCATGGAGACAAATTATAGAAACCGAGGAAAGTAAAACACACTTGAGCAATAAAATACCAAATGGCTTTTAAAAAGTGGCGTACAGAGATGCAAGCTGTCAGCAAGTTGTTGGAAGATACATTAAGCATAGTGAAATATCTTTGTAGAGTGGATTTGTAGAGCGGTGTGAAAAACAGAGTTTATAGAGGCTGTAAAATGTTAGCAGTATCATCTCTATATTATGTACAGCCCCATTTCTTTCCTGTACCAGTAACACCTGTCGGCACTTTGGAGCCAAAATGTTGGACATGTTGATTTTTTATTTTTTTTATTTTTGCAAAATAAGATATTCAAGGAAATGCAACTTTTTTTTTTTTCTTTTTTTTTAAAAATAATTTCTGGCCACCGACTAGATGGGTTATTTACTCATAAACTATATACTCAGATGTAATATTACCTCAATGATGGTGCTAAAGTTACGGCTCTCAGGAGTCACCAGCTGTAGTCAATCACTCATGAGAAGGTAAAAGGTTGAAAATTTGATTAACACAGCTTTCTGCATCACAAAAAATAATAATTCAAGTTGCTGTATGTATATTTTTGACTCAACACATTTAGTCTTGTTTCCAGAGGATCTACACTAAATGTATGACGGAACTAATATGTATGATTGTGACAAAGACACATGGGTTTCAATCATGCTATCTATGGTTCCCTCATGGAAAATTCTGAGTTAAAGGAGTCATTGGAAACTCTAAGCTGCCATGATAGACATGATTTTCACAAGTGTATATAAACTTTGATTAGATTGCTTATAGAAAACTTCAAGTTCAAGTCGGCTTTCCACTTAGTCTGAGCAACCATGACTTGGATGGTGAACTTTTATTACTTAGTGTTAATTGTGTACTGTATATGCTCATTCTCCAGCTATGTGCAGTAGCACTAAAGAATCTCAGGGCCATGTTGGAGAAGTTCACAAGGCTTATCCATAACAGAGAAAAAAAATTCCTTCCCCTCCTACACTACGGGCATTTGTCATCAAAGCCCAGCACAAGTGCTTTAAAGCAAGTACTGGGGGGGTTGCCATGGCTACAAAGTCACCCTGTGGGCATGACCATCCATTGAGGTTTTCCATTCTCCTTCTCTGGCAAGATGAAAATTCACGTGGCCAAACTGTCAGAGCCAAGCTTTTATGACTTCAAAGCCAGGCAGAATCCACAGGAGCTCTGAGACCTTTGTCAGATGGCAGTGTGCTGCATTCCTCAAGCCCTGTTGACATTCACAATTTGCCTCTCAGACCTTTGCAACAAAGAGAATCAGGCTGCTGCATTTTGAAAATAGACATTCTCTCATCTCATTCTGAGCCGAAGCACATGAAGCCATTACGCAAAGAAAGGACAAATCTCCTTTAATTTAGCATTTGGTCCCAGTTCGCTAAAGTGAATAGATGCTCAGTGACAGCCATCACCACAGTTTTGCTCTTCTTTTATTTATTCACTCATGTGGGGCTTTAACCCATCGCCTGACTCAGACAAAGGCCCAGAGATGGAGGCTATTTATAGGCTAACTACAAGGTACAGGGCATTTGCTCACATTAGAACATTGATTTGTTTGACCTGCTTCAGTGAACTATGTGCACACTTCTCTCACTGTAATGACTTCTTTTCCCCAGGTCATGGCTTCAAGTTTGGACCAATCATTGGCAAGCTTCTGTGCGAACTCAGCCTGGGAGAGGTGCCCTCTCATGACCTTTCACCTTTCCGAATCAGACGTTTTCAGGCGATGACCAAGTCAGCTTTATAGAGCTGGGACCGGATACTGAAGAAGTCTTTCCTAATTGTAGCAGTTATTGTTGTAATCTAGAACTAAACACAATCACACAATGAATTATACCTGCTGCTTTTTTTCATTGTCACTTTTTGTTGCCAGTTAAATTGTGTAATTTGTTGTGTAGCTCTCAAGCATCATGACATCATTAATTGTGTTCATATTAGCTGGCTTTCTGTTGTAATCTGATGTCTTTAAGAAAGAAAAAATAACATTTTAAGAAATAGGTTAATTGGTTCTCAAGATGTGAGAGAGATGAGAAAACTGACCATGAATGTCTGTGTGCAGCACATACTGGGGGCTTAGCATGAAAACTGAAGACAGTGGGAAATGGTCATCTTTGTCTGAATTCTTTAAAAGAATGTGGCTACCAGACAATGTAACACACTGCAAAAAAATGGGAAGTTGTGAAGTTTTGTGGTGAAACTATTTTCGCACAGAGCACTACTTAATTGTCTTTTAACACCTATGCATGTGCTGAACGAAAACTTAAGGCAAAAAAAAATGTATGATTATTATGATGCCAGGGCAGCAGGATGACAGCAGAGATATTTCATATTGTAAGGTCTGGATCTTATCATGTGAAGTGCCCTTGTTGGTATTTGGTGCTAAATAAACTAAAAATGTACTGAACTGAATTGTACGATTGCAATTTCATGTTGCAACACAATTTTGTGTTTAAAACAGATAAATCAAAGTACAATAAACACTGACACGCAGTATTATTTCTCATTTGCTGATCAACTGTTTCTACAGAGCCATTCTTGTCACTCCATGAAGATGCTTCGTCACTATCTCAGAATGAGTTGATTCAGTAGATATGCTGATTTGCTGAGGGGCATATTTTCACTAACAGTGGTGAAGTATGAACACAAGCATGAAAGCTATCGTCGCCACAGAGCAGTGCAGCTACAGAGTATCTATATGAAGTAGCACTTGTGTTTTTTTATTCGTGTACAGTTTACCCTTGTGTCCTTAGACTACAGTGCAGTATGACTTTTAACACGTATTACACAAATTTTGCTTTGAATAAATAAAAAGAAGTCTCGCTGTTCTCCAAATCAAGAGCATCATGTAATGAACTAGAAATAAACTAATAGTGCTCAATTTTGACCAACATGCACAACGAGATTTGAATATTGTTGTGCAATTGTAAATTCATTCATCTGTACAAATACTAACAAAAAAACACAAACTGTAATCTCATTGGCTTGTATTATTTCATGCATCAGTAAGCCTCCCTCTCACAGTCTTCCCAGCGTTCACCATTTTGCCAACTAAGTACATGGTTAAAAAGACATCAGCCATCGAGTCATTTGTCTGTGTGAAGCCAGCTGCGTGCTTCGGCTTCAGAGGTGGCCTATTGCCTGGATCTATTTCCCCATGTACCGGTAAACATTTTAATCACTAATCAGACGCCCTATTACAATGGATGCCAACCAAGGCCATCAGTGGGAATGGGAAAATTATGCAGCAAAACGGCAGAGATCAGCGAGCCATTTGCTCACTTGCCTCTAAGTGACTTCAGATGGATTGCAAAGAACCATTATGCAAATTGAAAGAATTAGAAATACATTAAACATGCAAATGCAAATATTCAACCACCAATAACCATCAAACAGGGCCAACTGAAACACCACTCAGAACCAATGTCTAGCTTGTAAAATCAACTTTTTTTCTCCTGCTGCACATTAACAGTGTTAAGGGTGTAAGAATTAGACACCCGAATGAAGCTCTGTCAGTTCTTTAATATTATATGTAGTCGTTAATGGGTCATTCCATGCCAACTCACCTAGTCCTCCTGGTTCATCTCATGGATTTTCTTTTGAACAGTTTGTGTGAAAACTGAAGGAGCTGGCATGTTGCCAAATAAAAAAAAAGGTTTACTCAAGAGCTTCTGCAGTTGTAAATTATGGAAGTTTGGCACTAGATTTGGTAATTTTGCAATTCCTTCTAAGGCTCATCAGTTGATAGTTTTTCATTGGATTGGATTTAAATGTGTAATAAACGCTACATTTATATTATAAATGTAATATATGTTATACCCTAACGATAATTTGCAACTGTTGCTGAATGTTTTACAATTAATCAAAAAACAACAAATCTTTTTTTAATTTTTTTTTTTCCTTGTATGTGAGCAAAAGTTGATTCTATGTCATATCAACATAGTCATATCTTATCCAGAATGTATTTGATCATGTAAGAACATTTTCCTACCACAGATGGTGTTAACTATAACCCTCTTCATAAGGTATTTTGATTGGACATTTTCCCCACAAAGACTTGTTTTAAATTCCTTTGGACATTTTTATTTATTTATTTTTTTTTTTAATGGGAAAAGGTCAAGCTTTACTGAATATATATTTTTAAAAATGGAAAGTTTTTTTTAATAGCATATTTTCATGCTTTTCAATGGCACAATACAGTCAGTGATTTTATTTTGTAGGTATTTCTATGATGGTGATTTCAGGTTTTCCTGCTCTGCCGTGATTTTGATGTTTATAAAGCTTCTACATTTTAGTTTCTGTCAACAATGTTGCAATTCTGCTTTATTATTAAGGTCATAGTTGGTTGTCAGTATTAACTGCAGATATATAAAGCTGACATGTTATGTCACTTCATTTGATAATTTCCTGCAAACAAACGTTTAGTACACTTGCAACACTGATGACATCAACAAATGATCAAACTCATTTCATAAACACATCTGTAAAGAGTCACTGTAACCCCAATGTAGCAGAGACAAGACGCTGCAGCGACACAAACTTTTCTTGTATCAGACCCTTTGAATATCAAAACAGAACAGAGTGGACCAAACAGGAGTACCAGTGGTGAGCTAAAGATTGGCCCCAGAGGGGAGGATGCCAACCATTAGAACTATCTTTCAATTCGCTGCTGTGACATTGAAAAGATGGAAAAGAAAATTCACACAGTGAGATTGAGAGTGACAGCAGAAGTATTTTCCACTTGGCCAAGCTTACAGCGCAGTGTCACGTCTGTTCTTCTCTCTCACGGTTGTGAGGGAAATCTGCCACTGCTGTCATGGAGGTTTCAGGCAAACACAAGCTTGAGATCATAAGTGACATTTTCCCAGAATGCAAAGAGAGTTGATGCGATGATGAACATCACCGCACGAACATCAGCGCTGTACCAACCTGCAGGAGTCTCTGCAGCGAGGCAGAAAGGACGACTCACAGTGTAACTGGGCAGCTCCCAGTGGTCATTAGAAGTGTACTGGGTGATGTAAAGTCAAAATGCATGTACGCTGATGCATGAAACAACAGGTAGTAAAGCTCCCTAAAGTGTTCTTTAATGTGTTTAATTTCAGCATGTAGTTTATTTGAAAGGTTAAAAATGCAGCTATGCTTCTGAGAATGTCACCAAACCCTCTAATGGGTTACTTTAATGCAGCATGTGAGGTGCTGCTTTAAAAATCCAGTAAAAACACACAAAAACTTGGCTCATAGAGAAATGGCAGTAAATAAATAAAAAACACAAACCATTTGGACATTAAAAGGCTCAATCCTGAAACATTTTAAGGGAGTAAAGATAAACTTCCCAGATTTACTTAGAAAACAAATTACTGAGAAAACAGGATGAAAGGAAGAAAACATTTAGACTTTTGAGAACAGAGTATGCATGAAATAAAAAGTACGCTTAAAATATGGAATAATTTTACACCATGCAAATCAGGTTTGTTGCAGTTTTTGTTACCAGAGTGGGGATTTCAATAACATCCATCACGCCCAAAACATATTTATAGTGAAAAGAAGAACCCTGAACCTGAGAGGGGAAACCTTAAAGGCTTTTCAATTTTCTTTTTCGATGGAAATGGTTCTCTAATGGGTCCTTACAAGTATCCATCATTAGAAACAGATGGCCTATTATACCACTGCTCAGGCAGAAGAGGGGCGGGGATATGCTGCCGTTATGGGGCTACCAAATTAATCTACTAATGAGAATGATCAGAAATGACTAGATAAAAATATGACTTATGTGCCGATTCAGCAGTAAGAAATCAGTGCTTATTAACATTGATTCACTGAAAGCAGAACACTTGCAGTGACACATGGAGCAGAGACTTACACAAGTGTCTCACTGTCCACACTGTGTATTGATACACTGGATAGTAAGATTGGTAACTGAACCTATTCTGTTTCACAGCAGAACTTGTCAGATTGTACAGTACACAATCAAAGTGAGTTCACCTCTGAGCAATATCACCAAACTGTCACATGATCCAAATGTCTGTCATCGCTCAATAACTGCATTACTTTTAAGTGAAAGAGTGCAGTACTTTTTATTTATGTATTTGTTCATGTATTCATCAATTAATTTAGTTATTCTAATAACTTGTTTAACTGTAAACAACATTGTATAATTCATCCTACATCCACCCAACCGGTCGAGGCAGATGGCCGTCCCTCCCTGAGCCTGGTTCTGTC